ACTGTCTCATCTCCTTTCATCTATTTATGTCTTCTTCTCCCCAACCAACGTCCTCTCAATTCCATCAGGTAAGTGCCCTTGTTTAATTATTTTTTATGCCATTGTTAGGTTATTTTAATTTCTGTGTATTGTAGTAGATTTTCTCTTGTATTATAGTAGATCTCCTCTTGTATTTTTTTTCTAGTTACACTTGTTTCTATGTCGGGGTAATAGTCAAATTTCATCATGATAGGTTAGGTTGACATTGGTATATCTGTGGCGGAATTGGGGTTATCAATTGTTGTTTGGGAGTTCGGGTGAATTGTGTACTTTAGGTGTTTGTATAAATGCCACAATAAGTTTGAGAATGTAATTTTGTGACCAAGTATGCTGGTGAAGTCCGAGTAACCGCCCTTTCATCACATATCATGCCTTTCACTAATGGTGGTATTTGTTTCAAGTAGTATGATGTTATCCAAGAAACGAAGAACCACAGTTGCATCCTCCAGTGGTCACGCTGGATCATCCCGGCTACAAGCTTTTGCTAATGTTCGCCAGTATGATAGTACCAAGTTCATATCCAGAGCGGCTCAGGAACATTTTTGTCATAAGGCCTCCAAGAAACCCATACCGGAGAGGGGAATTGATATGGGGTCCCTCCAAAATGACTGTCTCAATATGTATCGTGAATTGGTCTGGCGTAGGATGGATATCTTGTTTAAAGAACCGGATGAAGCTAATTTAATGATTATGCGGGAGTTTTATGCAAACTGCCCGGAATATGAACCACGTCTACACGGTGCAGAAAAAGAGTGTGGACACCTCCATAGAGACCCTTCGGAGGGCTTACGGGTTGCCAATGTTTGGGGAAGAACCTGACGCAGAGGACTACTATGACACCCATAAAGTACCAATCCCATGGGAGATGTTCTTTATGACAATATGTGTGCCCAACAAGGAAGTAGTGTGTATTACGCTGCGGAAGAAGTTTCATTCGGCTTCGCTCACCTTTGAAGGGAAGTGTTGGCTCTACGTCATCAATAACCGCCTACTGCCTTCTTCCAATACCACTGAGGTGAATGGTCCCCGCACTGCACTGATCTGGTGTTTCATCAATAGACACGATTTTGATGTGGCTAAGGTTATTATTGACAAAATGTTCATTCGTTGCCCGGTGCAAAGGTATGGGTTCTTCTTTCCTTCATAATCACTAGATTATGCCGTTCAACATGTGTATCGGAAAACAGAGACTTGGATGGGAAAATAAAAAAGAATAGCAGTTCCGGGCTGATAAAGTGGTAATTGGGAAGGTCATGTTGCACCTGTTGAGTCAAGTAGCGATGCGTCTGATGCTCCTGGCGAGGATACT